CTATGTTATGTCTACATGGCTATGATAATGAGTGGAGTTATACACCTACACTCTAAACTCACTGAGTCTGGATGTTCATCTCTGCCTATCCTTAACCAAAGCACAGCCATGTTCCTTATAAGAGAGTAATCACACTTCGTGCTGCAGGCATGATCTAATCAGGAAGGGGTCAGGAAAGACCTCTTCCCACCCAGTAGGATTGTTTGGTTGGCCAGGTGCACTAATTGAGGTGAAGACTGCTAAATTCCTGTGAAGCATCAGGCATTGCAGCTGCTTTAGGGAGTGGACTTGGCTGGGTAATAGTCTAATCTGCTGCAGCTTTGCAGGATTACTGCAGGGTGCTCTTTCAATTTTCTATCAATTCCTCATTGCTATCTCTGTCTTTTGGAATCTAAGAAAGTATATCTCCTTCTTTAAACAGAGATTATGGGAAGAGAGGACTTTAGTGCTGAAAGACAATTTAGAAATTATCTAGTCTGATCTTCTGGCTTCATAGAGGGTAAAATTTACGTTGTTAAATGCTAAGCGACTTGCCCAAGAGCATACTAGGAGCTGGTGGCAGAACTAGGACTAGAAGCTGGGTTTCATGGCTTCAAACAGATCTTCTTTCCATTACTTTATAATTAAGATCCACTGTACAAAGGTCAGTCAGGTTCAGCTATGCCTGAGATTCATCAAACTTTCTTAAGCCTAGAGGGCTTGTTAAAATACAAATTGGTGGGCTCTACCCCCCAGGGCTTCTGATTCAGTAGTAAATGTCAATGGGCTGAGAATGTGGAAGTCTGATAAGTTATCAGGTAATGATGATGCTGTTAGTCCAGGCACCAAACCTTGATAACCACTGAGATACCCTAAAGTTACCAAATGGAACAAACATTTCTTTCTCTTCTCATTCATTTGTTCAGTTGTTTACTCATTCATCAAATATTTATTGAACATCATCAACTGAAAGCGTCACATGTTAGTGCTGGGGATGGGAAACATGAAGATGACAAAAGCACAATCCTCTTCTTGAGGAGTTCACAATCACTGGGGAGGGACAGATGCATAATGGGCAAACATTTAAGTGCAGTGATAGAAGTCAGCACAAAGTTAATGGTTGCACCAGAATCAAAGTAACTGAAGTGGAAATATTTCATGGAAGGCTTCACCGGAAAGGCAACACTCAGTCTGTCCGGGCCTTGAAGGACAAGTGGGATTTCTCCACATAATGCAGGGACAAAAAGATATTCCAGCTTAAAGGAGTAGCATATGTAAAGACATAAAGAATGACATTTTAGGGAGAACTGGCTTAAGTGGCAGAAACACAGGCTGTATGGAACAGATGTCAAGGAGTGGAAGACGATTAAGACAGAAAGTTACGGAGCTGAAGAAATGAAAGCCACTTCATGATCTGCCAAAGTGTTTGGGATTTATCTTGTACGCAGCAAAGATACTGAAGGGTTTTAAGCAGGAACATGTTTTCAAGTAGCCTGGGCTACAGTGGAGAGTAGATGAGAGGGTTTCCTGGAAGCAAGGAGGAATTAAGAATCTATTATAGCAATCTATATGAGAAATGATGATAACTGGCCCAAAACAATAGCAATGGGAATGGATAGAAGTGAGCATTAGAAAGTTAATATAACCAGGGCTGGTTAACAGGTCAGAAGTAAAGAATGAGAGTAAGGAGGGAATCACAGATAATTCCATGGTTTCTAGCTTGGCCAGCTGATGAAGTGGAAAGACTATTAATAGAGATAAGAAATAAAGCAGAAATAGGCTGGAGGGAGATACTAAAGGTTCATTTGGGACATGTTGGGACTCTGATGTCTAAGGACAGACAAGAAGAGATGTTCTGCTGTGACTGGGAAATACCATTTGAGGTTCAAGAGAATGGTACAATGTCAGGACAGAGATTGGGGTAATGTCTTCGAAGGGAATAAGCTTAGGGAGATGAGATGAATATCTTGTCCTGGATTAATATTTACATTGCTGTCACAGTGATAAGTGATATAACCTCAATTATAAAGAAGAGGAAACCAAGAGATTAATGACACTAAGGGATAACCAGAAAAAAGTGAAAATCAAAATGCAAAATTTCTAATTTTGAAACTTGAATATTTTGTGAATGGATGCTAAGAAAACAACTTAACATCCATTGGCAATATACGTTTCTAATTAGTGTTCTTAGCTGAGCCACTACTGGTTCATTGACTTGAGACCTTCTTCGGGCAAATTCTTAACTCCTTCAGGCCTCAGTCACCTAATCTGTAAAAGAGGGTTGCTGAGGATTAAATAAAACAATTCAGATAAAACATTTAGCATATTTGGCATATAAAAAGGGTGCTGTAATTTTAAAAATATTTACTTATTAGTGGAACAACTATGCTAGAAAGCAGAAAACAACTAAAAACACATTATTAAAACTATCCAAGAAAACCACCAGTAAAAGAACAAGTGAAATTAGTTACTCAGAAGACAAATACTATACAAATGAATGGCTTTTTCTTGCTACTTCCTGAATACAAAGAATGGTATTTAGTCTGACATGCCACCTACTATGACTACACCAAAAAGCACCTCTAATTCCTTGTATTAGTTTTCTATTGCTGTGAAACAAAATATCACAAACTCAGCAACTTAACACAAATTTATCTCAATTCACATGACTGATACTCTGCTTAGGATCTTACCAGGCTGAAGCCAAGCCGCTGGTCGGTGCGGTGGTTCTTGGTTCTCACAGGGTCCTCTTGCAAGTTCATAGGTCACAGGCAGCAATCCATTTCCTTGCAGTTGTAAAATTGAGGTCCTCATTTTCCTTCTGGCTGTCAGTTGGGGGCTACTCTCAGCAACTTCAAGCTGCCTGCAGTTCTTTGCCACATGGCCCCCAGAGGCAGTTCACAACATAGATGTGAACTTTTTCTCTACAGGCCAGCAAGGAACTTCTGGAGCACTAAATCCTTTTCATGCTTCTAATCTGACTTCTGTTTCTGACTTCCAGACAGAGATTTATTGGGCTCATATGATTAGCCCTTCTGGATAATCCATTTTATGGTCAACAGATCTAGTACCTTAATTATACCTGCAAAATCCCTTCACCGCAGCACCTAGAATGGTCTTTGAATAACTGGGAGGTGTGTGTACCCCAACGGGCTGGAGACAGGGACCATCTCAAGACCCTTCTACCATATTCCTGACGCACCTGCAAGTTCAGTCACAGGACTGAGCAGTGATTTTTAGCAGCATTGCTAGATTTAACGTTTTACCCTTTGGCTATTTCTCTACACTCCATTTATATTTGAATGACAAGTTGCAAATACCTCAAAGTCCAAGAGATACGCATTTTAGAATGATGTGTAATTATGGGTCTTTCACCTTTAAGTCTGTGCCCCTAACACCTACATAATCATTGGGTCAAGCCAAGAATTTGTCACTTAAAAAAAAAGAAAAACAGGCCGGGCGCGGTGGCTCATGCCTGTAATCCCAGCACTTTGGGAGGCCGAGGCGGGCGGATCACGAGGTCAGGAGATCGAGGCCATCCTGGATAACACTGTGAAACCCCGTCTCCACTAAAAAATACAAAAAACAAAATTAGCTGGGCGTGCTGGCGGGCGCCTGTAGTCCCAGCTACTGAGGAGGCTGAGGCAGGAGAATGCTGTGAACCCGAGAGGCGGAGCCTGCAGTGAGCCGAGATCATGCCACTGCACTCCAGCCTAAGCGACAGAGCGAGACTCCATCTCAAAAAAGATAAAAAGAAAAAGAAAAGAAAAAAATAGCAGTTTTCAACTAAAATTGTTTACTATTGTTTAAGATTTAAGAAATGTCAGTTTGATCAATATAGTCCTGGCAATAAATCAGTTGAGGCCAAGCCTGGTTTGAGGGGGTATGTGAACATATATTTGCCCTGAACATATTTAATTAAAGAGCATGTATTTTAGGTTGTCAAATCAACTGGTTTCTTTCAGGAGCCTCCTAGCTTAGACACAGCCAGGCTGAGAAACCATTAATCAAAAGGAGCAAGGAGCAAATGCTAAACTGTGGGTGGAGTTGAAGTACAAATCATGGTTGAGATGCTTAACTTCCAGGGCCACCAGAAACAGCTGTCTCTGCACTGGTCTCAGCCAGGTAAAACTCCAGAAACTTCAGAAACTGCTCTGCATTTGGGACACTCCAGGGCTGCCAACAACAGCTGTCCCTGCAACTGGCCTAGGAAAAAAAAAAATAGATCTCCCATCACTTTCCCCTATCTTACCCAGATTCTTGAGGGTCAATCTATACATGGGTCCTTTAATATGTTCATTTTGCTCGCTGATCACACTATTCCAGACTAGTCAATGCAATACACAATAGGAACAAATGACGGTGTGATGATGTCTTGAATATCTCGAGATACCAAAGTTTATACTCACTATATACAGGTTGACCTAATGATATCTCGGGACACTGATAAAAGCCAGTGTTCACATGTATGTTCACATTTTGGTCTCTGGATCCTAAAAAATGTGTAAGTGCATTTTAAATTACTTTTTGGACTTTTTCTCTTGTCTTCTTCTTTACTATAGGTAATGATGAGACTTTATAAACTCTCTTTTCCATGCTGTAAAAGGATTCTAAACTCTATAAATCATAGTTAAGCTGGTGTTCTTACATGACTGAGTTATAAGCCATTGATTCTTGAGTCCATTTATCCTGCTTACTCCACCTCATCTTCAACAAAAGGAAAGATACTGGGGACACTAAGTGAACTCTCTGTATTGAAGGATTAAGGCGATGTCTCGGTCTCTGATACCTGTCTGAGAAGATCAGACTCATCCCTAAAACAAACTAGGATGTCTGGGTTGGCACTGGCAGAAATCAAATTTTGAAGTATACTTCAAAAGAAAAAAAACTTTTAACTACAAATGCAGATCTTCCTTTTGCTTCTTCCCACATTATAGACATGGTAGAACAATATTTTGCCCATACTTAGTTAAATTGTTCCAAGTTGGAAAGAACCAAACATAGACACTTTGGCATTATTAATGGTGAGCAGGCAGGTTTATTCAGAAAAAGCTCAGATTCATACTTGTAAAAGTCTGAAAAAAAGATTAAAATGCTATTTCCCAAATAACACAGGTTTGAACTGTGCAGGTCCACTTATCTGTGGATTTTCTTCCACCTCTACCACTGAGACAGAAAGAACAGCTCCTCCTCCTCAGACAACTCAGCGTGAAGATGAGGATGAAGACCTTTAGGATGATTCACTTCTACTTAATGAATACTGAATATATTACTTCCTTAATAACGTTTTCTTTTCTCTAGCTTACCTTCTTATAAGAATAGAGTATATAATACATACAGCACAAAAAATATGTGTTAATCAACTGCTTTATGGTATCGGTAAGGCTTCCAGTCAATGGTAGACAAACTACTAATTAAGTTTTTGGGGAGTCAAGTTATATGCAGATTTTCCACTAAGCAAATGTTCAGCGCTCTTAACTCCTGTGTTGTTCAAGGGTCAACTGTATATATGTTTAAGAGTTACTGTTTACCCAGTAGATCAAGCCAAGACCAAGTTAGGTTTACGTGTTTTTGGCTTAACCTAAGAAAATGTTCAGACTAAAGCAGTCCATCAATAGAACAGACTGCCTTTTAAACCAGGGAACAACTTGTCTTTGTAAGTATTTTAGGTATATGAATGACCATACGTGATCTGCTTTGGGTCATTCATCTATGGTCCTTTCCAACTTAAAACTTCTATATTCATGAACACTGCATAACTGAATTGTGGATTTCATATAAATAATATCTCGTTGCCTACTTTAGGTTTGAAATGTTTTCCTTCTCAATTGCATAGATATATATATATAGCACCATCCCCACCATGAGCTCTGATGTAGAAAACACAAGATTCTAAAGTCATTTGTGAGGCTAAACAGACTTAGGCACTTCCATGTAATACTGCAAAAAGCAACAGCCTTAAAGGTACTACTTGCTCAACATGTCATTCCAAACACATAGACTATGATTAGCAGCTGAATTTAACAGCATCTTTCCGCTTTGAAAAACACTTCATATACCTTTACAAAGAAGTCATAGTATCTCAGGGTAGAAAAACCCAATAGGTAGGAAACATGGTCTTTTCTTAGAAATGAACTATGTAATTTTGAGTACTTATCTCAAAATCATTGCAGAAACATATCTAGTGCTTGTGGAAAAGGAATCAAAACACCTTTTTTTTTTTTTTTTTTTTAGCTAAAGGTTTTGAATTCTTCTTGTGACATTTAAGTCTTTTATTATATGCTGATTTTTATGATTATGTGTTTCATAATGGTTATTCTTGCCTCCATGAAAGGGAAGACTAGAACAAAAAACTGACAAGACCAAGTTCTAGCTCCATCACCAACTTACTGAATGACCCTAGGCAAATCATGTGGGCTCTGTCTTGTGTTTTAAGATTTACCTCCAATGAAGTAACTACCTCAGACTGGCTGTGAAGCTCTCATAAGGTGATGGATTTGAAAATGCCTTGCAAAGTATGAGCAGTTCATACACAGAAAGTTTCACGTACTTCTATATCTTGCATGATGCCTACCCATGGTTAGGGTGATAACAGTTGTTGATCCAATTATGAAAGAGAGAAAAAGAACTCTTTAAAATAGTGAAGTAAAATAGCTAATTTTCCCATGGGTTTATCATTTGCTCTATTCAAAAGTTTTACAAATTATATTAACTATATAACTAAACATATTTATCTTTATTATATATGATATGCAATTATATAAGACATAGTATTATATAAGACATACTATTATATATATAATGCTTAAACAATTATATTTAAATATAAATTATACTTTCCTTCCCCAGATAAGACAAAGAACCTGTTTACTTCTTTGAGGATTTATTGGTTCCTGTGAAACCTGTGAAGGTCACTAACACTCTATAGCCAGAGAATGACAACATATGATTGTCTTTTCAGTCTTGTAGTATCCACAGTAGTGATGTCTGTCCATGGACAAGTGTCTGTCCAGAACATCCATTAAACTCCATGCCTGCTCTGTGTGTCATGGGGACAGGGCCAGAAGACAGATTCACTGGTGGTAGGCCCTCCCTTTGGGGTGTGTCATGACAACGATACCCCAGGTGGCAATGCCTAGAAAAAAACAACAATACCATACCTTTATGCTGCATTTTAATTTACCAAGTGTTTCACATATACGCCATCTTATTTAACTCTCACAACACTTCTGGAGGAAATATTACCATTGTATCTTTCTTATAGGCAAGTGAAGCACAGAAAAAGAAAAAAAAAAATCAGGAAAAAAAAGAATATCTTGTAGGAGAATTTACCTATACAGAATCAAGAAGGTAACACAGTTAGAAACCTCAAATTCTATTCACTGACAATCGGTTTGAAAGCTAAAAAGATCATGACGTTTTACTGATGACATCTTGACGATCACAGAAAGGGGTTGTGGGCGACATTACCCAGGTGTACCAAGTAGGTGAGCTTAGAACCCACGTCTAAAGATCTGGGATTCAAGGCAAATTTCTTAAATTAAGGTCAAGTGCCCTCGCTCAGGCTTTCTCCAGGACCTGGAGGAAAAGTATGGGCTTTGAGATCTGATATACCTGGGATCAAGTGACTGTCATTTCCCGACCATGAACACAATACTCCTCGTTGCCTTGGTTTGCTCCATAGTAAAACGAGAATACTATAATCATACCTACTTCTAACAGCTATTCTGAGAATTAAAAGGACTGAGCCTAATAAGCGTTCTCAAGAAATACTGATTTAAATTAAAAAAAAAAAAAAAGGCGTTCCAACAACTTCCTCTCTCACCTTGTTTGAAGTGCCCCCACCACCTGACCAGCGCCAGCACCCCGCCTCCCCGCCCACGTGGCTGCTCCCTTTCCTTCCTCTACCCCACAGATACCCAACCCGCCCATGTGCTGTGCCCTGATTCTCACTGATGCCGATGACCATCTTCGTAATTGTCCATGGACCCGGGGGATATCCCATCTTCATGGGTTTCCGTGCTTCCCAGTAGACGTACCCGCCTGCCCCCATCAGCCCCAACCCAGAAAGCACGCGACAGCTCCAGCAAGTCTTCAACCAGTTGTGTTCTGCTGGGGAGGTCGGCGCTCCGGGTGTAGCTGGGGGCGCAGGCTTGGCGGGCGCGGCGGCGGTATCGGGAGGCGCAGCGATCTTGGAGAACTCCAAAGGCTTGGACACCTGAGACCCCATGTTCTGGAACTCGGCCTCAACCTTGGGAGTCTTTGGTTCAAACCGACGTAAACGATGAGCCGCAAAGCAGAGCGCCGAAAATCAGAATGCCGGGACGCTTGCGCCGTGCGAGGAGGAAGCCTGAGGGCTGCTGGGAAATGAAGTTCCCCTCCGCCTCAGAGGGGGAAACGGTGAAAGAATGCTGCCCTTTTTTGCTTGATTTCTCTGGCAGCAACAACCTCGGATGCGCTGGAGGCCAATTCCAACCCTCCTCCCCGCCGTCTCCCCACCGCCCCCCCCCCCCACTCTTTTAGAGATTCTGTAATCGCTACTCACTAAATGCATCACGTTTCAATCTCCTTAGAGGAGAAGTCTGGGTCGCTAAGTTTCTTGCTTTACATGAACGGCCAGACCTTGGGCATGTCATATCTCCTATCCAGAGGCCTATGAATCAAGGAGTTGGGTTTTATATGTGCACAATCATGTGCTAGATACAGACATACCATAGAGATATTGCAGGTTTGGTTCTAGACCACCACAATACAGCAAATATCTCAATAAAGCAAGTCACGCAATTTTTTTTTTTTTTTTGGTTTCTCGGTGTATATAAAAGTTTTTTATACTGTAGTCTATTAAATGTGCAATAGCATTGTGTCTAAAAAACTGTATATATCTCTTAATTTAAAAAAAAATCTTGCCAAAAAATGCTAATGATTACCTTAGCCTTCAGTAAGTACTAACCTTTTTTTTTTTTTTTTTTGAGGCGGAGTTTTGCTCTTGTTGCCCAGGCTGGAGTGCAATGGTGGATCTTGGCTCACTGCAACTTTCGCCTCCCGGGTTCAAGTGATTCTCCTGCCTCAGCCTCCTGAGTAGCTTGGATTACAGATGCTTGCCACCACACCTGGCTAATTTTTTATATTTTTAGTAGAGATGGGTTTTCACCATGTTGGCCAGGCTGTTCTCAAACTCCTGACCTCAGGTGATCCACCTGCCTTGGCCTCTCAAAGTGCTGGGATTACAGGCATGAACCACCGCGCCCAGCCACTTCTAATCTTTTTGCTGGTGGAGGGTCTGGCCTTGATGTTGATGGCTGCTGATTGATCAAGGTAGTGGTTGCTGAAGGTTGGGGTGACTGTGCCAATTTCTTAAAATAAGACAATAATGACATTTTCTGCAAGAATTTTTTTTTTTTATTTTTTCTTTTTTTGAGACGGAGTCTCACTCTGTCGCCCAGGCTGGAGTGCAGTGGCGGGATCTCGGCTCACTGCAATCTCCGCCTCCCAGGTTCACGCCATTCTCCTGCCTCAGCCTCCCGAGTAGCTGGGACTACAGGTTCCCACCACCACGCCCGGCTAATTTTTTTGTATATTTAGTAGAGACGGAGTTTCACCATGTTAGCCAGGATGGTCTGGATTTCCTGTTCGGCCTCCCAAAGTGCTGGGATTACAGGCATGAGCCACCGCGCCCGATTCTTCTGCAAGAATTGACTTTTCCTTTTACAAAAGATTTTTTTTTGCAACATGCAATGACGTTTTATAGCATTTTAATAACCACCATTTAATGTCTTTCAAAATTGGAGCCCTTTATCCAACATTTTGACAATGTTCATAGCATCTTCACCAGGAGTAGATTCCATCTCAAAAACCACTTTGTTCATCCACAGGAAGTAACCCCTCATCTGTTCAAGTTTTATCATGAGATTGTGGCAATTCAGTCACATCATCAGGCTCCACTTCGAATTCTAGTTCTTTTGCTATTTCCACCACATATGCAGTTACTTCCCTCATCTAAAATCTTGAACCCTTCTTAGTTGTTTATAAAGATTGGAATCAATTTCTTCCAATATCCAGTTAGAGATATTTTGTCCTCCTCCCATGAGTCACAAATATTCTTAATGACATCAGAATGTTGAATCTTTCCCAGAAGGTTTTCAATTTACTTTAACCAGATTCGTCAGAGAAATCATTATCTATGGCTGCTATAGCCTTACAAAATGTATTTCTTAAATAGTAAAACTTGAAAGTCAACATTACTTCTTGATCTATAGGCTGCAGAATGGATGTTGTGTTAGCAGTTATGAAAACGTTAATCTCTTTGTACTTTTCCATTACAACTCTTGAGTAACTAGGTACATTGTCAATGAGCAGTAACATTTTGAAAGGAATCTTTTCTTCTGAGCAAGAAGTCTCAACAATGAACTTAAAATATTCACTAAACCATGCTGTATACGGATGTGCTGTCATCAGGCTTTGTTGTTCGAATTACAAAACACAGGCAGAGTATACTTAGCATAATTCTTAAGAGTGCTGGGATTTCCAGAAAGATAAATGAGGATTGGCTTCAATTTAAAGTCATCAGCTATATTAGATTCTAACAAGAAAGTCAGATTTGAAGGGTGAAGCCAGGCATTGACTTGTCCTCTCTAGTTATGAAATGGCATCTTTTATTAATAGAATGCTGCCTCATCTATACTGATTATCTGTTATCAATGATCTAAGTTAGGTTTCTTTGATAACTTGCTGCAGCTTTTACATCAGCACTTGCTGATTCACCTTGCAATTTTATGTTATGAAGGCAGCTTATTTTTTTTTTAAAACCACATGAACCAACCTCTGCTAACTTCCAACTTTTCTTCTGCAGCTTTCTCACCTCCCTCAGCCTTGGTAGAAGTAAGGAGAGTTGGGGTCTTGCTCTGGATTAGGCTTTGACTTAAGGGAACGTTGTGGCTGATTTGATCTTCTATCCAGATGACTGAAACTTTTTCCATATCAGCAATATGACTGTTTTACTTTCTAATCATTGGTGTGTTCACTAGAGTAGCACTTTTAACTTCCTTTTCCTTTGCATTTACAACTTGGCTGTTTGGCCTACATTCCAGCCTATCCCAGCTTTCGACATGCCTTCCTCGGTAATAATCATTTCTACATTTTGACTTAAATTGAGATAAGGTTGACTCTTCCTTTCACTTGAACACTTAGAGGCCATTGTCAGGTTATTAGTTGGCCTAATTTGAATGTGTTTGCATCTCAGCAAATACAGAGAAGTAGAGAGGTTAATGGTTGGTGGGTGGAGCAGTCAAAACACACATTTTTATTAAGTTCACCATCTTTTATGGGTGTGGTTCATGCTGCCCTAAAATTATTCCAATAGTAACATCAAATATCACTGATTACAGATCACCATAACAGATATAATAGTAATGGAAAAGTTTGAAATAGTACAAGAATTACCAAAATGTGACACAGATATGAGTGAGCACATACTGTTTGGAAAATTGTGCTAATAGGCTTGCTCTACACAGGGTTACCACCAAACTTCCCATTTGTAAAATATACAATATCTGCCATTTACAGTAAAGTGAAGCATAATGAAATAAGATATGCCTGTACTTTGCTAAGCAATCAATTGCATGATGCCATTTAATATTCCTGACTCAACATGGCAGATTAAGTTTTCCCAGTATATGACAAAAATGGCTAAGTGCCATAGCCATAGTTGAAACCAGTGTCTGTGGATACAGTCAAATATCTTAAGCGCTATCTATACATATTGTGAGGAGACTACACAAATGTGATCGATACGTTAAAAATTGGTTTGAATTACCTGGATGAATACTTTTTTATTTCTCTTTAGCTTCTTTCTTAAAGACATGGTCTGAATTGTATCATAGTCATGGCATTGTTTTTTTGAGAGCCTTGGAAAAGTTCAACCCCAAAATCAGGCTAATAGATAGGAGGAATTGATACAGAATCTGTTTTTGCCAGTTTACTTTCTTATCTCTTAAGAATGATCTTTTAATTCTGATACTGTCTTTGCAATTAAACTTCTGTATCATCAACTCCCAACTCATATTACCTTTCATTTTCTTTGGGTTTTGAATATATATTTCTTATGTTGGGTTGTGCTCAGAGAATTACTAGCAAGAAATCATGACATTTAGAGTTTTGAGTTTGTTTCTCTTAGAGGAGATGAGTGAATATAGGAATAACTTTGGATTTAAACTTTTTTCCTTTGGATTGACTTTAAAAATTAACAAGATAAAAATATTCTATTCTATGTTCTGAAATGCAATGTGATTTTAGGAAGGTTAAAAAAATGAAAAAATAAAGATATGGATATATAAGGATAAAATAAAGTAGTGAGAATACTGGACTGGCCTACTGCTTAACTTCAAAGATGCCCCCTATTTATATATATGTTATATGGCACATATAATTAGAGAGAGTCTTTATATATGCACACACATATATGAGAGACAGATACATATAGATATACATATTTCTATATGTATATTTATATCTATAGAAAGGTGTATGTGTGTATGTATGTATGTATGTGCATGTGTGCGTGTAGTAGGAAGACAAAGGGGTTTGGGAGATTTGGGTTCAATGCCTTGCTTCATCACTATGAGCCACCCATGTGACATAGAAAATATTATTTATCTTCTCTGGACCTCAGTTAAATCATGTGTAAAATAAGATTTGGACTAGTTGGTCTCTAACAGTTTTTCCTGACTTGAAAATCCAACTACTTATTAGGAATCTCTCTTCAGATGGCATTGCACTAAGTGCCATACCAAATGAATTCAATAGTATTTCACTATTCCACTTAGAAATTCACAATTTATGGCTTATGCTTCTTACTGCCTGATATAACATTTTATAGTTGTGTAATTTCTTCGTATTTATATAGGAACAAACTCATCGCTTGGCAATTGTTGCCAGACGTTTTGACTGAACACCCTATAGATAAAAAAGCTTGAGCACACACTATCATTTATGCATGTTTCTTATTTATAAATTATATATTAATATACTACCTTATATATTGTAAGGATAAGTTAAAATAATAGAAATAAGAAATTTCAATATTTTCTCACATCACAATATATGGACTTGTGTATCTCCATGGATACCATGGTTATTTGACATGTGATTTTATTAATTCATGTTTTATCTAAAAGTTTATCTTCCATCAGGAGAGAACATCATTAATTCTCCAAATAAATACTGTTAAAGTAGCCCCATAACACTACATCCAAAGAACAGGCAAGATTTTATTTTAATTTGTGTTTCTTTCAAGTACCTTCCAAAAGATGGGTTTGTTCTCTTATGATTATCTCAAATGAACTATTTCAGGCTTTGTTGCTGTTTGATTGTGATATCCCTCCAAAATTCAACAATGGCTTCTGCAGAGCCTATGTTTCCTAAAACTACATAGCACATGTTACAATTGAGATGGACTAACATAATTTTGATTGGAAAACTGCTGGAAGCATTAACACACCTCTTGAGATTAATGAAACACAAGGCTCTGAGAATAAGGGAAGATGCTGATGAAAGCAAGCATTGTAATTGG